TCTCTCTCCTTTTGAAAACTCTTCTTGTTTTTTTAAACTTGAACCACTTTCATAATAAACTTGGACTTAGGTCCATGCATTTTCAAAACCTTTTCATAAATAAACTTCAATCAACTTAATAATACCTTGACATTTTTTGTGAGAAGACTAAAAGTCAATCAATCTCATTTCAAACTATTTTCCCACTTTGGCTTTTTATTTTAAAACTTTTCTCAAAAGATTAGACTCTTGTCAATCCTTGTAGTGATGCAAATAACTATAATTCTACAATATTAGTGATGACAGATATTTTCCACTTGGGTGTTGAGTGAGGCATTGTTAATTTTAAATCCAATCCATATCCTCCACTTTGAGATGTTGCAAATTCTCCTTTCTCATGATTGTGGGTAGTAAGTATGTGTTTCCACACGGACAATGACAATAATGTCTTATCTTATAAAATCAATTAACATACCTATGTTTTAAAATATTTTAAAAGAGTAACTATGTGTACACTTATCCCCTTTTACACGAAAGATGGTACATAGGCACTAAAGGTTCGCAACCGCGACGGGTGCAAAAACCATAAAAATATATTTCTTTTCTCACCTCCACCATCCATTTACATACAACATTTTATAGCCAAAATATACAGATTTACAAAGAGGTTCCTACGGAGTACCGTAGATGTTTAGGGTGCTAATACCTTCCCTTTGTATAACCATCCCCCTTACCTTGAATCTTTCCCCCTCTTTTTGGGTTACTCGCTCTTTTCCCATTTGTTTGGAAATAATAAAGCGCGGTGGTGATTTTTATTTTAATATGTATAAGTCTAGTCAATCCAATGGCTTAGTCTTCAACATTTCTACCGCTACACTCCCCAGCAGAGTCATCAGTTCTGTAATACGGTGGAAGAATTGACTTTGGTGTTTTGCTTTTGATCGTAATTGTTGTGGATAGCAAGAGTTTCCACCGACTTTTATTTTATTCAATAAAGGAAAGGGTGAAAAGAATAGGAAAGGTCTTTTTGGGAATTTCCTTGAGTTGGGGGGGGAGGGGTAGGTTATGAAAAGGTAAGGTGTTAGCACCCTTTTCATTTGTAGTTATCTAAGGGCTCTTAGTTGCTAGCTCACTTTGAAAATGCTTTGTTTGAAATGTGTTTGTGATGGGTTTTGAAAGTATTTTTGAAAAGTGCCTTTGTTTAGGAGAACTTTGTAATGATTCTCGTCTCTATAAGAATGTATACAAAGTGTTGTCTTTTAAAAATATTTCATTTGAAAGTGTTGGTGTATTTGAAAAGATGTTTTGAAAATGGTTGTGAGCAAGAAACTATGAACGTTCTACCTACTCAATAGGTTTTTGTTCCTTTCCTCCTTTCCTTTAGATGTTTCTATCTTACCATTGATTGGTAAGAAGCCCTATCATTGGATGTGAAGGGATGGCCGTGGTTCGTCGTATAGTCATAGAAGGCAACTTATGAGACGCTTTAGCAATTTTCGTAAGGGACTAAGATCATTTTACCGAAGGCAACGTCGAAGGTTCATTGAGGGACTACGATCTTTTTTATCGAGGGTCTTTGCTAAAGCGTCCCACATTCGAGGGACATGACTATTTTTCCGAGGCAACAAGCGAGGTTACCCTAGAGGTGCGCATGTGAAAAGTGTGTTTGATTGCATGCATTTTTGTCTTTGAGATTAGGGTTTTCTAACGGTTGATTTTATCTTACCATACACACCCTAATTACTAACAATTATATTAAAGCGATAAATTATGGAAATTAAAATCCTACGCTATTACATCACTTGGGAGATAGGGGTACAATTTACAAATGGAGATGAAGTAGAAGCCTAATTAAGTTATTACAACCATATTGAATAAATAATAGTAATAAAAAATATAAAAAGGAAAATAGTGTACAAAGAAATAAAAACAAACTTTATGTATTGACACATATCCTTATGCATCGACACATGCCACCTCTTGTTTCTGAAAAAACAAAATCAACTCAGTGTGAGTCAATACATAATGGTATGTGTCGACTCATTTCTTGTTTGTGTCGACACATTCGTGTTTTGTGTCGACTCATACACCTTTTGTCTCTCTGTATTGTGCCTGGATAATAGTATGCATCGATGCATAAGATCTTGTATTGACTCATACCATGTTATGTAACTAAAATGAGTCGACTCATGTGAGTATGCATCGACTCATGCTGCAATTTTTTGCCTTTAACATTGTTCTATTGTGTGTACTGGTCAGTTCTCAATATATGATTGACAAAAATAAAAAGCAAGCAAATAGTTAGCTTCAAGGGCAATGATTACTACATTCTATCTTCACAAGTGAACCAATAATGATGCGTGTATGAAAAAATAAATTCGAAGTCAAGAAGACTTACCTTGAGACTGCAATTTGTGTTTTGAGTCTGAATACCTTTCAGGATACTGTGATGATCATAATGGCTTCAGTGAACCTCCAGGAAGTTTCTCCAACCCTTACTTTGTATTCAAAGTTGCTGAACCAACTCCAACCAATCAAGTTGTACAATACTATTTTTTGTTTGTGTTTGGAATGTGATGGTAATGGAACTACTACAACTATTCTTGTGTTTGAACAATCTCTATATGATGTGAAGTGTTTGGATAGTTGGTTTATGGGAAAGCTTGCAAGATGGAATAATGGGTTGAGGTTTTGTTTTTATGAATGAAGATAGAGCTGAATATGAGCAGAGGTTACAAAAATTTATGTTAGATTTTTCAGATTTTCATTCTCTTTCAACAAAAACCTCTCTTTTCCTCCAAAAACCCTCTTCTTTTGTGTGTTGTGAAACAGTTTATTTATAGATGGAATGGACTGAAATTTGGGAGGGAAATAGAAAAGTTTTTTTTTAAATGTTTGGGTATACTGTTTCATTGCTTTTTAGATGCAGCTTTTATGTGCTAATTTTTTTCAAATATGGGACTGATATAGTGCAGGTTTGGACAGGGTTAGAGGCAGCATAGCATGACTGTTTTATAGTAGTTTTGGAGTGGAGTGGCAGCGTGGTGCATGGATGGCTTTGTACAGGATAACAGACTATTTTTTAACATGGTTTTGGGCTAGTAGCAGCAGGCTTGGACTTGGAAGCATATCTGTTTTTAGGGTTTTTCTGGACAACAACATTTGTAGCACGATACAAGTCTGGTTTTGTGTACAAATTTATGCAGCTTGTAACAAAGACAAGACATATTTGTGGATAGCATAGTGGCAAAGTTTGAAGGTTGAGTCAAAGGGAAAAGTTCAAACAAGACAAAGTTTAGGGTTTGTAACTTGCAATTTTTAACTTAAAAAAATGCAACCTTGTTGTTTACTTGAAAGCTTGTAATAACTTGAATTGTCTTGAATTGTGGTAAAAAGATGTCATGAAATTAACATGTATAAAAACAACTTAGAAAAATTTCTAAGTCTTACAAAGTTTGATTTTTTTTATTTTCTTGATTTCTTGATGATCAAATTTCATATTTTGAATATCTTGATGAAATGTGATCTTTGAAACTCCAATTTGATCAAAAAGTCAAAGTTTGACTTTTCAGTATATAGTTGACTTTTTCATTGGTTGACCAAATTTCATCTATCAATCCGCTGATCTCGGGAGATGAATTGAAATATGAGATTAGATCAAAATTATGTACTTGAATCCTTAAGATCATGTTTCAAACCAATAAGTCATGTACTAGGTCAAAAGTCAAAGATTGGCCATTCTCAATCAAAACCCTAATTTGGAGTCTCAGTGCTTCGGAGATGATTTTGTCTGATCAACTCCTTGAGAATCCTTGAGTATTGGAGATCCTTTGTGAGGAATGTCTTGAAAAATATAGGGCAAATTTTGGGGTACAACATCTGCCAATTGATTTTCTTCTATCAGGTCCATAATTTCTTTAGTCACACCAATGATCCAATGCCATTGACCTTCCAACCACAAGCCCATTTCTGATATTTTTGCATCAAGATGAAATAAACATGTTAATTTTATTTTTATTTTTGTTAGGATAGGAATCATAGAATCTAAAATCCCTTTGACACTATTTTTTTCTTCCATGAAATTTTATGTGAAAAGTAGATAGTTTTTTAGCTTACCAACACCACATGCTTCTTCAAATGTATTCAAATTAAGGATCTCAATTCCAATAGTAGGAAGAAAAGATAGTGTCGCATCTAACGATGTTGTTGTTTTCACCTGCAATGATAATCCGCGAGAGAAAGATAATACTTCCAATGTAAAAATTCACCTAAACCAATAGTAAAAAAAATGCAATCATGTAAATCATAAACTGTTAATACTTATATTAAGTACATGACAGTCCTATGACATTAAAAGACAGCAAAACCAACAATTTATAGCGCACACCTTGGAAGAAACTACATATTGCAGCAATGTTGGGCGATGCGGAAAGGCATTTCCAGGGTACTAGGTTGAAACCTATAACGTTCATTCATATAGATCAATTGATAGAGCAATTTCAGCTATTAACAATCGAAAAACAATCAAAACCTTAAAGCATTCTAGCTCATAATTACTACATGCAAAACGAAATACATATAACTCACCATATAAATAAGGTTTCCAACTGATCGACTGCATCCGTCTGTTCATTTATCTCGTCCATGGTTTTGTCGACATCGTCAATATTCCTGGGAAAAACAGAAGAAAACTTAGTTATTATGGATCATAATTATGCACCTTCTAACATTATCATCTTTAACTCAAATCACCACCATAAGATGCAAGAAATATTAATAATATAAACCATTGTTTGAACCAATACTAAATATGATTGCATTTTCCCTTGGTCATGAATATGCAGCTGGAAATTTCCAAGATTCCCAATTTGTTGTTCATATAACCTCTTCCTCTTCAAACATTGAATTGCCATTGTATGAAACAAAAACTCGAGTCAGGAACAATAAAAAAATATGGAAAGTGGGATTACACATGAAACATGAAGTTATAGTAACTGGGCTACAACTTGTTTACATAGCTGATGAACAGTCTCATCATTCATAATAATCTACAAGATATTAAAAATATACATTATAATCAGTACTTTAGTGACAACAATCAAGAAAGGCCGAGAAAAATTTGTTTGGAAACTTTAGATATCACGGTGTTTTCACGGCAACGCAGAAGCAACAAATTCTACAGACAAAGAAGTTACCATCGCTACAGTGGTGAAAAGAAAAACAAAATGAATTTTGTAAAAGGAAAATCAAAGACAGCTAAACTCACGAGTCAAATGATTATATACATACAATTGTTTGAACCCGTAAGAATGTTCATGGCAATCTTGAAGAGAAAATCAACAATAGTAAGAAAATTGGTCCTCATTCTTAGCTAACAACTTCACCTTCTAAACAACATGAATAACCCCAACTAAATCTCAGATCCAGCGAATACATATGCCGAATTGCAACATCAATCACTTCTCCCTCCTCAAAACTCACAGATCCAAAATCTTAGCTAACTATGAGACACATTTAAGAACACAACTCGTTAACAACAACATATATCAAACCAAATTCATAAAATGAAACAGAAAGGAAAAGAAGAAGTGAACAAAAACCACAAACCAACCACCATGCATTTTTCCAATCTCCGCTCACCACTGAGCCGATTTTGGCTTCCACTCTGCAAAACCGACCACCAAGATCACCGCTACAACCCTCCACAAAATCACATGTAGTCGCCTTTAAAGAAACCACCACACTTGCCACGACATTGATAAACATATTTTTCCATAACATGGGTATGACGATTTGGCACTACTAGGGTTTGATGGAGGAACAGAGAGAGAGAGAAAGCGGGTATACGAGAAAGAGAAAGAAGTGAAAGAGAGAAGGTGTTACGGTTTGAAAAAGGAAAGAGAGAGGGAAACTATTGCAAATCGGATGTAGCTTCCACTTGGAAAAATCCTTGGTTTTCATTCAACAATGAAAGGTGTATTTAATCAATTATATAAAAGGGCAAGTCTCAATTTTAGTTAGGAAGTTGATATAGATGACATGTCTTTTGCTATAAAAAAAACATGTTTTTTCAATCATCATTTTTCTTTCATTTTAAACTACTAAACTATTGTTATTTTTATTTCCTTTTTTTACTTTTTAAAGTTTCTTTTATTTTATTTATCAATCAAAATAAAGTTAAAAATAACAGAGTTGAAAAGATTATATTTTTTCAATTATTATTTTCTTTTATTCTTTTTATTCTATTGTGAAAAACTTTAATTTTGAAAGAATTTATTTGATTTTGATAAAAATGAGTTAACATCAAACCATTTATATTTAAATAAATGTTGAAATATTAGATTATATTTGATTATATTTAATATTTAAATATAATCTAAGTTGTGCAAGCACAAGTCAATTAGGATTGTTAATAAATAGTCATAGTGTGTATCCTTATTTTGTACAATGCAATTCAAGTGAATAATATAATCCTTATTTCCTTTATTATTCTCTCTTTTTATCTCATCACTAAAAGTGCCTCACACACTAACAAATTGGTATCCAGAGGTTTCAGTTATTGTTCTTGCTCGAGTTCTCAAGAACTTCACGTCAGAGATCGTGTTTCCAGGGCAAGTGCATCAACCGCTGCAAAGATGGTTAGTGATAAGGGCATTTTGAATTCTCTTCCAATGCTCGGCCAAAAAAATTGGATCCGATGAAAAAATAACACATGCAATCCTTATTTACCTTCCATGAAATCTTATATATGGTTAGCGACGGCGTTCTCGCACTTGCTGCAAATGCAATCGAAGCACAAAAAATTGTCTACAACAAAGTCAAGAAGAAATATTGCAAGGCTGCTTATTGCATTCAGACAACGGTTGACGCTGCTAAATTAGATAAGATTTCTCATTCTGAAATGGCGAAGGAGGCATGGAATATTTTGGTGAAGTATTATGAAGGAGGTGAGAAATTCAAGATTGTCAAGTTATGACCCTCCCATTAACAATATGAGTTATTGTCGATGGGAGAAGACGAATCAGTTGCAGAATATGTGTCGAAGGTTCAAAAACTCATTAATCTCATTAAGAGTTGTGATGAAACCATAACTAATTAGATGATAGTTGAGAAGGTAATGAGAATGTTGACCTCTCACTTTGATCACGTTATCGTATCTATTCAAGAATCCAAAAATATTGAAACAGTAAAAGTGGAAGATTTGATTGGTTCGTTGGAGGCACATGAGATGAGGATTTTCGAAAGGAAAGGATTTCAGGACTCAATACAGGCCTTGCAAGCTCAGTCATGGAAAATGAATGGTGGTTCCAACAAGTTTAAAGCCAACGTCGACAAGACTTAGAGAAAGAAGTCTTGGTCGAACCCTCATAAGCATAAGGTCAAAGATAGAGCTTCTGAATCCTTGAAAAGGGGAGGATGAAACTATTGAAAGGACAAAGAAGATAAATAAGGTGCGAAGTGCTATAATTGTGAAAAGTGGGGTCACGTGGTCAAGAATTTTTGGTACAGAAAAGACAAGGGATCGATAGGCAAGAACGAAGAAGCGAACCTTGCACGCCAAGATTCAGATGATTCTCAAGGTGGTATGGTGGTTATGGCTACAATTGCAGATAACCATGTCAAATCTAAGATCTGGTTCCTCGACTCAGGATGCTCGAGTCACATAACTGGTCGAAAGGAGTGGTTGGTAGATTTTGACGATTCCAATAAGAGCAAGGTAAAACTTGTTGATAATAGTTCGTTACAAGCAGAAGGTATTGGCAACATAGTTTTTCAAATGAGTAATTGAGGGAAAGCTATGATCAAAGATGTGCTCTATGTACCTGAAATAAAGTGCAACATGTTAAGTGTTGGACAACTTGTCGAAAAAGGTTTCTCAGTTGTCATGAAAGATGGAGTTTTAAAATTGTTCGACACCAAGAACAATTTGGTCTTAAAATCTCCATTGTCGAAGAACCAGACATTTAAGACTATGATCAATTCGACAAAAGTTTAATATTTGAAAATTGTTGTAGACCACAAGGATAGTTGGTTGTGGCATTTGAGGTTTAGACATTTAAATTTTCGATCACTCAATCAACTGATTACTCAATATATGGTTATTTGCATCCCAAGTCTTGAGATTCTCGAAAAACTCTGTAAAGGTTGTTTAGTCAGAAAGCAATCCAAAAATTATTTTGTTTCGACTATGCCAATGAGATCATCATGCATACTCGAAGTGGTACATTCATTCGAAGAACATACCATTGGTGGAAACATATATTTTGTTTCATTTGTTGATGAGTTCAATCGAAAGATGTGGATATATGTGATCAAGAGAAAGGACGCAATATTCAAAATCTTTAAGAGATTCAAGATACTTGTCGAAAACCAGAGTGAGAAGAGGATCAAAGTTCTGCAAACAGATGGAGGTGGTGAATACACATCCAAGATGTTTGAGGATTTTTGTGTAGGACATAGTGTCGATCATGAGGTAAATGTTTTGTATATGCCGCAACCTAATGGAATTGCTGAAAGAAGAAACAAAACCATATTGGATATGGCAAGATGCATGCTAAAGAAAAAGAATTTTCCAAAATCCTTATGGGGTAAAGCTATTTAGACTGCAGTTTATATCATGAATAGGTGCCTGCCAAGATATTGAAGAACAAGGTTCCTGAAGAAGTGTGGAGTGGAAAACGACCATCAGTGAGTCATCTGAAGGTCTTTGGCTCTCTGTGTTACAAGAAGGAAGCTTGATGACAAGAGTGAACCTATGATTCTGGTAAGATATCATAAAATGGGTGCATACAGGCTATTCAATCCAATTAATGAGAAGATTGTGTTGAGTCGAGACATTGTGATTGATGAAAATTCTGTCTAGGATTTGAATGATGCAATTAATAAGCCATTGATGAGATACGGTTTTGACGAAGAAACTGATGAAGTCGAAGTCGAAGAAATTGTTAATATTACAATCGAAGTCGAAGCAGTTGCTGACATTCCAGAAATAGTCGAAGTCGAAGAGGTTATGGCTGAAACAAGCCAAAGACTTCAAAGAAATAGAGTTCTTCCAACAAGAATTCATAATTATGAAGTGGTAGATGATGATGAAGTCACATCAGATGAAGAATTAGTCCATTTTTCTTTACTTGTAGGTGTTGAACCAATCAACCATAACTAAGCTTTGAAGATTAAACAGTGGAAGTTAGTTATGGTCAAAGAGTTACAGGTAATTGAAAGAAACATACATGGGAATTAGTCGAATTGTCAGCTCATACAAAAGCTATCAAAGTGAAGTGAGTGTTCAAGTTGAAACACAACGTTGATGGGTCGATAGCAAGACATAAATCCATATTAGTAGCTCGAGGGTTTCTTCAACGAGAAAGATTCGACTACTATGAAGTATTTGCTCAAGTAGTAAGATTAGTGATTGTTTGACTAGTGGTAGCATTGACATGCAACCAATGTTGGTCCACATTTCATTTAGATGTGAAATCAACATTTCTGAATAGTCCTTTAGACGAAGAGGTCTATGTCACACAACCTCTTGGGTTTGTGATTCAGAAGAAAGCGAGTAAAGTATATAAGTTGCACAAAGCGCTATATGGTCTCAAGCAAGCACCTAGGGCATGGAACAAGAAGATTAACTCATACTTAGTGGAATTGGGATTTCTAAAATGCAAGTCTAAGTATGGTGTCTATGTTCAGGTTGTAGGACAAGATGTAACAATCAACTGCTTATATTTTGAGGACATGTTAGTAACTGGAAGTAACTTGAAAAACTTATTGAAGTTCCAAGAGATGATGATGAAGGAATTTGAAATGTCAAATCTAGGAAAATTGTCTTATTTCCTAGGCATGAAATTTCAAATATCGAAGCAAGGTATGGTGATACATCAAAGGAATTATGTCAAAGAGATACTCAAGAGATTCAAAATGAATTATTCAAATCATGCACCCTCACATGTCAGACCAAATGTGAAGTTGGAGAAGCATGGAGAGGAAGACATAGTCGATATAACTTTGTTCAAGCAAATTGTGGGATCTATGAGGTATGTGTGCAACAGTCGACCTTATATAGGTTTTGCAGTCAGGTTAGTGAGCAGATTCATGAGTGAACCAAGAGTGTCGCACATGAAGGTTGCAAGAAGAATTCTAAGATACTTAAAAGGATCGATAGACTATGAAATTCTATTTCAATGAGATTCTGAAGGCAAAGAAGCAACAATTACTTGTTTTTCAGATGCTGATTGGTGTGGAGATAAGGAAGATCGAAGAAGCACAACTGGATAATTCTTTCAAGTATTTTGTGCCACAATCTCATGGTGTTCGAAGAAGCAACCGGTGGTGGTCATCGTGTGAAGCTGAATATATAGCAGGATCCTGTGTTGCA